CTGTCACCCCTTCCTCCCTCCCTCCCTGCCCCCCACCTTCCCGAGAAACGCTTGGGGATTTTTACTAGGCTTACAAATTTAATCATATATAATATCTCAGACTAAAGTTAGGAGAATATAATTTGTATTGCTGGAATCCTTGCAAGACAGTGAATAATTTGAATATAAACATATATTTTGCACAAAAGATAAAATTTTTGCTCTCTAATAAAATTCTTAAATTAGATCTAAAATTTGTATGTCTATTTTAAATTATAGCTTGTTTATATTCAAATTAATCACAATCTTATAAGAATTCCAGCAATGTAAATTATATTCTGGCCGGTTATTTATATACAATTAGCAACAACATAAATAAATAACAGCATAAATAAATAAATTAAATACTTCACCAGACCCTCCCCCTAACTGTCAAAGTACAACTAACCTCCCCCCCTCTCTTCCCTCCCTCCCTCCCTCCCAGACAAAAGTTTGGTGTTTTCATTTGGCTTTAAAGTGTTTATCTTATATAATATCTCAGACTAAAGTTAGGAGAATATAATTTTCATTGCTGGAATTGTTGCAAGACAGCGAATAATTTGAATATAAATGCCATATATTTTGCACAAGAGATAAAATTAACCACCTGTATCACATTACAGTAGTGATTTAAGAGTAAGAGTGTATATGTACGATATATATAGTGATTTAAGGGCGAGTTAGGGGAATTTTAGGAGTGTTTCTGACTTTATGCATTTTTGGCTTTACTTTGTATATACTTTTCTGTGAGCTGGAACCAATTACCCAATATCCCATTGAAACAATGGTTTTGGTTAGCGAAATTTTCGGTTAACGAACGACCCTCTGGAACGAATTGAGTTTGTTAACCGAGGGACCACTGTATTATGGTAAGTTAAGTCTGACATTATATAAGAGAACAACTTTAGGCCTAAAATTCCCATTAATCATTATCACGAACTGCCATCTGCCTCTCCTGCTGGCTGGGAGGTGGGGTGTTGATAGCCAGGAAGGGTGCCTAGTCAGGATTATAAAAGACAGGGATTGTAATTTTTTCTCATAAATTTTCACCAACCTGACTTAGCAGAATATAACTTGCATTGCAGGAATTCTTGCAAGATAGCAATTAATTTGAGTATAAACATCACATAGTTTGCACTAGACACAAAAATCTTAGTAATTAACTTTGCTCATTTTCTTTACAGGTTGTGATAACTGTTTTTTGCTTATAAAATGTCACCAATTTATCTTAGCAGAATATAATGTGCATTGCTGGAATTCTTGCAAGATAACAATTAATTTGAATATAAACAACCCATAGTTTGCACTAGACATAATTTTGTTAGAAATTAACTTAGTACATTGGAGTACAAGTTGTGATAATTTATGCTCTGTGGTTGCAGTTTAATATTTTATATTACCAATGATAAAACATACACCAGTCAGCCTCCCTCCCTCCCAACTCAGTGTCTCACACACAAAAAACTTTAAACTCTAAATGTTGTGTGTGTGATCTTGTGGTGAATAATAACTGGCCTATGGTTAAAAATTCTTTGAAAGCATTTGAGGTTGATGTAGGGTAGATGACTAGTGGGTCTAATGATTTTGACCCAACCTTTTGTTAAGTCACCCATTTTTAATAAGTTCTTACATATGCGTTGGAAGTGGTGTGTGGATTAGTGGATCTGACCTGGATCTGATCTTACCTGACCTGATGTTATGTAAGGTCATTCATTGTATACTGTATAAGCCTCTCTCAGTCCCTGTAATTTCAGTTGCCTCTGAAGATGTCTTGAATCAGGACGAAAGCTAAGGTACTCCAGTGTTTCTATTTTCCTGTGTGGTTTTATATGTTACTGGTAACATTTTCCTAAATACATGTACTCCCTGCTAAAATGGGGGGGGGGGGTGAATCTTATATGGTCTTTTTTATATAATTATTTATTGTTTTTATACATTAAGTACATTCTCCGTAGGCTGAAGTAGGTTTTACTGTATCATGTGTCTGAGGTGTCTCCGTAGGTGTGAGCGTATTTACGGAATTAATCACGATTTAGCGAACTAGTTCACTAAATCGGGCGAAAAATAATGGACAAATTTCTGTTAAATCGGGAGTTTATTATATCAGATATCATTAAATCGAGAGTACAGGCAGTTCTGCTATAACGTGATAATTGTGTTCTTGTAAAATATCGTGTTATAGAAAATCGCGTAATAGAAATAACAGGGCTTATGGAGAAAATAGGGTTAGGTGCAGATTACTCGAAATCGAAAAAATTTAGTAGTTAGCCTAACACAAAGGATAGCACAGTCTAAATAAATGTTACATTCATATCTAATAATGAAATCATACAGTAAATGTAACACTTTACTTGATGGGGGAGAAGGGTGATTTTGAGGTTGATAAAATCGAGCTTCTCTTCAAGTGTTATATCCTTTCTTTTACGATCATCACCGGGAATTCTATCACCAGAACGCTTCTTGTTGATATTCTTCTTTACTATATTCACAGTTAATACTGTTTACCACAAAATTGGAGAAATAGTAAGCAAAAATCGCGTTATAGCAAACAAGCGTTCGCGTTATACAAATATCGTTCCTAATTCATAAATCGCGTTAGAGCAAATTCGCGTTATCAAAACACGCGTTATAGCAGAACTCACTGTATACTGTATATTCAGAATTCTTAACCCCTAGGCTTTAGGTATGTATATGATGTCCTTCTGTAGAGCTTTGGGTCATGTCATATGAGGGTGCCTGTGTAGAGCTTCGGGTATGTCATATGAGGATGCCTGTGTAGAGCTTCGGGTATGTCATATGACGTGCCTCTGTAGAGCTTCGGGTCATGTCATGATGTGCCTCTGTAGAGCTTTGGGTCATGTCATGACGTGCTTCTGTAGAGCTTCGGGTATGTCATATTATTTGGGTCTGTAGAGCTTTGGGTCATGTCATATGACGTGCCTCTGTAGAGCTTCATGTCATGTCATGCTTCTGTAGAGCTTCGGGTATGTCATATGACTTGCGTCTGTAGAGCTTTGGATCATGTCATATGACGTGCCTCTGTAGAGCTTCAGGTCATGTCATATGACGTGCGTCTGTAGAGCTTCGGGTTATGTCATTTGACATTTTGATCTTTCCCAGGCCTATTTGAATGAAAAGTGTGGGTCTGGCTAGATCATGTAACCAAATAGGTATTCATGTTTTCACTCACTCACACATGAGAGCCTTCCAGTAGCTTCTTAGCTTTTGTGATGTAGGCATCTCGCCCTTGGTCTTGACTCACTGCACCATGTGTTTCTTCCTCCAAGCACAAGTCTAGTATTGTGATCATTTTGAGCAGTAATAATGATTGTTAATAGTGTAAATAGTAGTGCAGTAAGTCCTCGCTTAACGTTGTGGTTCCGTTCCTGAAAACCGCAACGTTAATGAAACCAACGTTAACGGAATCAATTTTTCCCATAAGAAATAGATACGGGAGTTACGGTCCCCAGCCTCCCTTTGCCCCATAAAATACATTACATATACAGAAATTCAATGGCATTTTTCTAGAAAATAATATATATATATATAAATAAACTAAACCATTTTGTATTGTGCTCACTGATGGGAGGAGGTGGAGCGGTGTGTGGAGAGGAGGAGGGTGGCGAGTCACTGAGACCTGGTGGGTGGCTCCTCCTCCCTCTCAAAATGGTTTAAAATCTCCATTTTTGTAGCAAGGCTAATGGTCTTATGTTGCTTCTTCACAACACTAGCATTGATGGGTGCTTGGAAGCCATTTCAAACGGTTAAAGTACAGTATTAAGAGCAAAAACACTTAAACACGCACGAACGCTGTGGAAGCCTAACAAAGACTAGCGACGCTAGGGGATGCTGTGACGCTCCGCGAGTGAGAGAGCGTAGTGCGCTAAGATGAGAGAGGGAGATGCGTCGTACAAAGTAGTCCGTGACGACGTTATACTGAATCGATGGAGCTTTATGCGAATCATGGGTATCTAAAGAATAACGACATTATAATGAAACAATGTTATCGGGAGCAACGTTAAACGAGGACTTAATGTAATAGCATAGTAAAACAAGTGACCTGTGCTTCATACTGCCTACAAACATTCTCGATGCTTCCTAGCCCGTGTTGACAGCCTGTGGTAAGGACATGTATTTATTTCCTGTTTATATCATGCATGGACAGTGTGTAAGACTAGAATTGTTTTTTATTAGTTTTTAAATGTTCCTGAATATACCCGCTTTTCAGGGAGTTATACCAACAATAGCCCAAAGCCCAGGGGTTAATGGCTGAAGATACAATATATGTAATAATGAAGTACTCTGTACTAACAGTAAATGGTAAAGTAATACCAAATTATTATACGCTACATAGATGATTTTGCTCTTATCACAGATAGTGAAGAGGCATAGCTAAGACTCATTAACAGATTATTGTAAAGAGTGAAAAATATGGTTTAAGAGTTAATGCTGTAAAGACTAAAGTAGTGGTTGTTTCCAAATTGTAAATAAATCCTAAAATATGGAATTATAGGCGAATGCTAAGAACAAGCTACACTGACATTAAAACAAATGATGAAGTTTACTAAGATTAGCAACAACTTCAAGAGAATTATTTGAAATGTACAGAAGAAGAAAAGGAAAATACTTTTGTCATATAATTAGGGATGAGGGGATGATAACAGAAATATTAATGGGGAAAGTTGATGGTAGTAGGGACACGGGAAGGCAGAGACTGGGATGGATGAATGAAATTAAAAATTGGCTCCCAAGAGAGACACAAAACCTTAGAGGATTGGTAAATACAGCCCAAGAACATTTAGAGTGGAGGACTGAGGTCAACAGCCTTTCAATATTAGGACGGTGCAGTACTCTGATTGATTGATGAACTAACACATATTCGTGTAATACTTTTCTTGTCATTGTTCCTTTACTGATATTTCACATGACAACAAGTTATTAAAGAAAATAATCTTAATATGTCTACCCTTCTCTCCTTCCAGGTAGTGATTGAAGATGATCTTGATGATGACTTTAACCTCTCTACCTATGAACACCTATGGAAGAAGTAATATTCACTGTACTTGGAAGTTTTTAGAAAATTGTATCCTTGATATCATTGTACAGTTTTTGTAATAATAGATGGCTGATTAGAAGTCCATTGAGTCCTTAGGCAGATCTCCCCAACATCAGCTAAGGTTATCTCTTGATCACCTCTACCTTCCCCCTCCCCTCCTGTATCCCCAGCCTCAATTAAGGGAAGCCAGTACAACCTCTTCCTCCCATGAAAAGGGGGCAGGGCAAAACATCTTGTTATAGCTGACTTAAGCACTCCCCATTCTGCTGAAGGAGCTTCACCCTCCCCCATTAATCCAATGTTATTACATTGAATATTAAATAAAAAGCTGATACATTGACTGTGTATTCTCTAAAACAATTATTGGGTGCTACTCACAGAACCTTAAACGCTCTTATTGTGGTTTGTGCATTATGTTAGGTTGTGTTGGTCACTCAAAATAAATAAATAAATATATATATATTCTTCATTTACGTGGTCATTTGAACCCGTGGAGGTCCGTGTAAAACGAGAAACGCGTAAACGAAATAACAGAACATATGGGATTAATTGAAATAGAGACTGGACCGACCCCAAACTACACTTTTTCCGACATAATTTTATGATGGTATGCTCACACAATTAATATTTAAGAGAAATACAGTGGCCGGTTAATATCCATTGAAATAATGACAACTCCCCCCCCTCCCCCTCCCACTCTTCCCATGCTCGCTGTCTCTCCTCCCTCCCTGAGAAATGTTTGGGTAAAAACACTAGGTTTTTAGGTTTAGTAATAAATAATACCTCAGACTATGTTTAGGATAATATAATTGACATTGCTGGATTCCTTGCAAGACTGCGAATAATTTAAATATAAACGTCATATATTTTGCACAAAAGATAAAATTTTTGCTCTCTCTAATAAAATTCTTAAATTAGATCTAAAATTTGTATGTCTAATGCAAATTTTAGCTTGTTTATATTCAAATTAATCACTATCTTATAATAATTCCAAGAATGTAAATTATATTCTGGCTGGGTAATTTCTATAAATTTTATGAGCTAAAAACAAATATCTTCAGTAAATAAACAAATTATACTTCACCCAGACACAATACGTCACGTACGTTGTAGTAAAAATGACATCTTAATTTTATGATGGTATGCACACAATTAATATTTAAGAGAAATATTAATAATGCAGTGGGGTATGCTATAACGAACGGATCCTACTACGAATATTCCTATAACGAACGGTTTTACCTATGAAATTGAGAATGCTATAACGAACGAAACTCCTACAACGAACATTATTTAAAATTTTTTTTTTTTTTTTTTACTAATTTATTGTTTCTTTTATTACAAGTATTAATGATATTCCTTATATCAGGGGTTTAGATGCATATTTATGCACCTTTTTACAATTTTTACAATTTTATATATTTTTCAGTGTTAAGTGGTTGTATTTGGGGGCCTAGAACGGATTAATCCTATAACGAACGAATGCTATAACGAACAAGGTTCTAGAACCAATTAGATTCGTTATAGCATACCCCACTGTATTAGGTTTTTTAACACTTACTTAGCAGAAGACATGGCTGGGTACACGGGGATTGGGGTTGGTTCTGAGGCGGAGGGCAGATTATTAGCCCTCACCTGTATCACTTGTATCACCGGTATCACTATCCACCACAGAGGCTTGCAGGGCCTCTTTGTCAAACCCCTCAAAGTCCATATTCTCACTATCACTGACTTGGGCTGGCTGTGGTGGGTGGCGGGTGAAGAACTCGGTAATGTTTTTTTGAATTGGGCGACCTTGTGCGCACCCTGCCCGCTCCGCTTCCCGAGTAAATAATGGAATGAACTCCGTAAATAAAAATTGTCGGTCTGGCAAGATGCCGCGTAAATGACCAAACGCTTAAACCAAATCCGCGTAAATCGATACTATACTCTGTGTGTGTGTATATTCATATACAGTAGTACCCCACTTAACGCGGTCAATAAAACCCACAGGGTACCGTGTTAAGTAAAAACCGCGCTAAGTGAACAACAGAACATATGGGATTAATTCCAATAGAAACTGGCCCATCCCCAAACTCCACTTTTTGACGACACATAACTATGTTCTAGTAAAAATAACATCTTAATTTTATGATGGTACATGCACACAATTAATACTTAAGAGAAATAGAGAAATACAGTCGCCAAGTTAATGTACATTCAAATAATGGACTCGACTCCCTCCCCCTCTTCTCACACTACACTGCTGGCTCTTCCCTCTCTGAGAAATTTGGGGGGGGAAAACCACTAGATTTTAATAAATAATACCTCAAACTAAAGTTAGGATAATATAATTGACATTGCTGGATTCCTTGTAAGCAAAATCTATGATGTTTATATTCAAAATGATCATCAAATTGTAAGAATTCCAGCAATGAAAATTATATTCTGGCTGGGTAATTTGTATGAATTTTATGAGCTAAAACAGGCAGTCAGGCAGGGTGGCAGGTGGGGGGTGGGGCGAATCTAAAAATAGCTCTCGAGCCGGACACTCACCGCGTATACGTGGAAAAAACCCGCGTTAAGTGAAAGTTCGGCTCTGGCGAGGCACTGCATATACGGTAAAACGCGCTAAGCGAAACCGCGTTAAGCGGGGTAATACTGTATGTATGTATGTATGTATGTATGTATGTATGTATGTATGTATGTATGTATGTATGTATACAGTAGTACCCCGCTTAACGCGGTCAATTGAACCCACAGGGTACCGCGTTAAGTGAAAACCGCGTTAAGTGAACAACAGAACATATGGGATTAATTCCAATAGAGACTGGCCCGACCCCCAAACTCCACTTTTTGACGACACACAACTATGTTGTAGTAAAAATTTTATCTTAACTTTATGATGGTATGCACACACAATTAATAATTAAGAGAAATATCAATAATATTAGGTTTTTTAACACTTGCATTAGTAGAAAAGATGGCTGGGCACACGGGGATGGGGGGTTGGTTCCGAGGCAGAGGGCAGATTATTGGCCCTCACCTGTATCACTTGTATCAATTGTATCACTATCCACCACAGAGGCTTGCAGGGCCTCTTTGTCAAACCCCTCAAAGGCCATATAAGTCCATATCCTCACTATAATTATCACTATCACTGACTTGGGCCGGCTGTGGTGGGTGGCGGGTGAAGAACTCGGTAATGTTTGATGACTGGGCGACCTTGTGCGCATCGTGCCCGCGCCGCTTCCCGCGTATATGATGAAAAATTCCGCGTTAAGTGAAAGTTCAGCTCTGGCGATGCACCGCGTATATGATAAAACGCGTTAAGTGAAACCGCGTTAGGCGGGGTAATACTGTATATATATATATATATATATATATATATATATATATATATATATATATATATATATATATATATATATATATATATATATATATATATATATATATATATATATATATATATATATATATATATATATATATATATATATTAGGGGGCAGTGAAATTTTGCTCAAAGCTGCACTCTTCAGGCATTGTTCCTTATACATATCTAAGACTCCATGCCAAATTTGAAGCTGATATGTCGAGGTTTAGTCTGCCGCATTTTCTACTGAAATTTTTAAATTTACCTACAGTACTAGCCAAACAGCCGCTGTGGCGGTGCAATGTTCTGTTCAGTGTTTATCAACTTTTTTTTCATATCTCTTATTTCATTTAAGTTGTCTTGTTGCAGATGAGTATGGTGCTATGTCTATATTGATTATCAGCCTTTTCTCATTTCATTTCTCAATGTTGTGTTACTGTACTGTAATGTAGGGGAGACACCAGTTCACAGAACCGGACAAGACTCCCTACACTGGCTGCCGCTTGTGACCGATACTTGATTAGTGATTATGCTGGAGCTGCCATTGCTACTGCCACCTTAACTGACTATGGCATTATCACAAAGGATGACAAGAGTCAGGTTATTGGACCACATAAGCTGCGGGATGCGAGACAAAAATACCGATTTAAGAGGCAAGAAATTGAGATGGCTAGTTTAGATAATTTGACGTCACTCTATTTTGATGGTAAGAAGACCGCCACTCGTGTGATGATAAAGAATGAGAAGACCGAGAAATGGAGTTCGAGGATGATGGTGAAAGATCATTATGTCATCATGGTTGAGCCTGGCAATGAATATCTCACACATGTGACTCCCAAGACTGGACACGGAAAGCAGATTGCCAAAACTATTCACGAGTTTCTGGTGGAGAAAAATCTAACCCAGCAGCCCATTGTGTGTGTTGGTTGTGATGGAACCAATGTAAATGTAGGATCAGAAAATGGAGTCATTCATCATCTTGAAATGTTACTTGGTCACCCGCTCCATTATTTCATATGTCAGCTTCACGGAAATGAGCTGCCTTTCCGCGCAGTTTTTTATCACTATGATGGTAAACCAAGTGGTCCTGAGCATTGGCGTGGTCCCATTGGAAAGCAGATCAAGGAGTCTTTGTCTGAGCTTCCAGTTGTCGCCTTCCAGCCAGTCAGTTTCCCTGATTTCCCTGTGTTTAATGATGAAGTGGAGAAAGATCTGTCCTGGGATCAGAAATACCTGTATAGGATTTGTAAAGGAGTTATCACAGGTGTTGTTGAAGATGACTTGGCTGCTATTGAGCCAGGTCCTCCCTGTGTGTCAAGGTGGAACACCTTATGGAGTAGAATCCTCAGGCTGTATGTAGCAACATCAAGACCCAGCCATGAGTTGAAAAGAATTGTCATTACAATAATAAAGTTCAGTGCTCCAATGTGGTTTTACATCAAGATACACCCTTACGTAACACACGGCTCAAGGAACGTATTCCAGTCCCTGCTATATATGAAACACCTGAATAGTGAGGAGGAGACGATAGTGAAGAAGGCTGTCCAGAGAAATGCATACTTCGCCCACACAGATCAACTTCTTCTTGGTATGTGTGCAGATGAGGACATGACTGTTAGAGAAAAAGCTGTCTCAATGATAAGAAAAATTAGAGAGGAGAATCAGCAAAAG